ACTAAACCGTCATATTTTTCTTCCAAGGATAAATAACCTTATAGCGTTTTATTTTTAAGTAAATAGAAGGTACAAAGTAAAGAAGTGCGATCAAGAATTAGAATGGAAAGTGCCCGGGGGGGTTCCAGGTGCTTCCCCTGCCCCTCCCTCTCAGCAGAGCGCCGGAGCCCTGGTGCCAGAGGTTTACAGCCCTCGCCCCAGGTCCCAGGCCGACAGACCTTGCTCTCTACACGGCAGGTCTCCACGTGTGCTGTGGGACCAGCAGTGGCAGTATCCCCTGGGAACTTTCTAGAAATGCAGATTCTCCGGCCCTGTCCCTGCTTGCTGAATCACAGACTTGGGGTGGGGCCAGCAGTCTGTTTACCAAACCCACCAGGGGACTCTGATGCCACTCTAGTTTTTAGAATCACTGCTACTGCATTGTGGAATTTAGGCTGCAGTAATCCCTGCAAATTACACCACTTTCCACGGCTTTGATTGTAATCTTGACATTAAACAAAATTTGCTGACACTATACACTTGAAAACTTTTTAAAAATACTTGTTAAAAAAAAAAAAATCTCAACTGGCCATCCTTAAAAGTGGTATTTTTACACCCTGAAGTCTATCAGTAATGTTTCTTACTTCTGCTCTCGAAATCATGTTACAACTGTATAAATAATACTGTTCAGTATTAAAGAGAAATGGAGATACCATGACCTTTGTCCTGGTTTTTTTTTTTTAAGTTTGATTTTTGTTTTTAGTTCTTTTCATACCTGAACACGGCTCCCTTCCTCCCTTCTGCCCACTCATAAACACGGACATGAGCATATGCGTGGGGTAGGAAGTGTGTGGCTGCCGGAGGATCTGAATGCTAAATTGTGCTTTCTCTGGCTGAGCTAGTTATACAGATTCTTAAATCTCAAAATAACTATACTATGTATTCAGCACAGAGTTTCACTAGGGACTAGGAATCTGGGGGAGCAGAGACTAGAATACAAAAGAAATTGAGTCCTTTATTTCCCTCATTGAAGTGTTGGCAAACGAGAATACTGGCCATCCAAATCGGTAGTTGAAAGAGCCTGCCCATAGTTCTGTGTGGGATAGGGTGACAAGGCTGCCTGAGCCCCCTAAGGGCAGGGATCTTCATCAATCCATTTGCCATCATCATCCC